CTAACAATATTTTTAACTTGGTACAGAAGCAATTTAGCAATATCTCTACTGTCAAATCTGTGGAAGCAATTTACACTCAGTATGTAAATGCCAGGTCTCGTTACTCTTGTACCAGAGTCTGCTTGTAAATGTCTAGGCCTGTTTTGCAGGAGCTCAAATCTGTTCCCTGCTGGTATCTATGGAGGTATCTAAATTTTGTAAGTGTCATTGTTTGTAAAACTGCTACTGGTGCAATGTACCATAAACAGGTATCACTGAAGGCTTGGGCCATTAATGCTCTTCATGCCTAGATTTTTGTGTAAAGCATTTTTCTGGTATCTTCCTCATGGAAATCAATTTAAGTATCGTTCTATGATTATGGGTTGGTGAATAGGTTCTTGTGCAGTAGGCCAATGTGTGTACACCTGCTAAATAGCAGTTTCTGTCTGAAAATTACAATGCATATTCTTATGTTGCAGAAGAGTTAAGGCAATTTATTGTTTCTCATTGAAGGTTCAACAGTATAAGGCTAAATTACTCCAGGCTCAGAATCAATCTGGGGTAGATAATATCCTGCTATTTGAAACATGATCTTATCTAACTGCTATTCTTTGGTGTCCTCCAATGGTATTGTAACTGAATTCTGTCTAGTCTGAAACATAAGCAGAAAGTAATGGGTGACTTAAAGAAGACATCATAAATTTTCTTCTTTAGACAGTTTATTATAGTAATTAAGAAGAGAGATTAACCTCAGAATCTATGAAACATACATCACATATAACAAGGAACACTCCCTTGTGAACTGGAAGGTGTGTATTTAAGGCCGTCTTCCAAAGGGTGCAGGTAGTGAAGCTCAGCTCAGAGCATTTCCCAGAACTTTGGGAGCACTTAAATCACTTAAAGAATGAGGATAATTAGGAAAAAACACAGGCTTTTCCATATGAGAGGAGGTTTGTATTAACTGTGTTAATACAAACTTCAGGAAAGGTTTTTCTGTCGGGGAGATGCATTGATTTTCAGATCAGCTCTAGCTTGTCTTTTTTGTTTGGTTGTTTTCCTTGGTTAATTTGGTTGGTTACTTAGTTACAGATCATATTTTTAATTTTCTTAATGTGTATTGTATAGGAAGCCTGGCAATGTAATTTGTGGTTAAGAAGGATTTGTCAATGCTGAAATTAAGGACCTTGAAGTCCTCTTGCAAATTAACACACAAAGAATTTTTTTATAGTCTTTCCTTCTTCAATAACAAGTAATAACTTGTACGCCTCTATGTTTTTTGTTTTTGTTTTTGTTTCAATTTCTGGGGTGGTTTGATATCTTGTGGCTACTGAGATAATTTTGATATGCCTTATGGAATAGCTTTTGCTTTCTTGCCAGAATCAAAACTCCAAAAGAAGCAGTTAGTATTTTTTAACAAAGAAACATATTAAAACTCTTGTGTATTTTTCACAATCACTCTTTTTTTTTCTGCCAGAAGAGGGAGAAAATCCAATCAAATAAAAGGTGTTTTACCATTTCCTGGGCTTACAGAGATAAAGCTTTAGATGTATCTTTCCTGTATCTAAAATCAAATGCTGTTCTGGAGTTTGTCTTGAGCTAAGAGAAATCTTATCTGCAGTAGTGGAGATGATAAAAGTTAAGATATCATGAAGGCAGTGCTAGCTGTATCTATGAAAGGCACTGTACAGTTAGATATAAAAAAGTAGGAAAATCTAAAACATTGTGTACGTTGACATAAATTTCTTCTTGGATTTCTCATTTGTGTGTTTTTTGGGTATTTTTAGAATTTCCTTTTGAACTTTATTCAAAAACTTTTAATCCAAATACTTCTTTTGCTGTAGCAAATGGATTACTTGTTCATTCAGAAAACTGTATTTTAGCTACACTGTGAAGATTCTTCTGTTCCTCTTTTGAATTTGTCCCCTTACACACTATAAAAACAACACAAGTAATTATTTTTTTTTAAATAAATGTCAAGTCCCCCTGTAAAAAAAAAAAAAAAGTGTATGTTTGAGATACTGAATAGCAGTTTAAGCAAATTGATTTTTAGCTCCAATCTCCTTCAATTAAATTCAGTCAGAGGAAGAATGACATAAACTTGTATTTTGTACACCTTCTCAGTCTGATATTGTAGAATAATAACCTTCCAAATACATGTTTGTGAAGCCTGAGGACAGCTCATTTTCAGTCACCTCAATTAATTTCAGAGTAGCATGCTTTTTGGTATAATTCAGGTAAATGATGTAAGATCATCACAGAATACATGTGTATCTTATTTTATGAAAGCCAAGATCTTTGTCACTAGTATTTTTATATTTAGAGTTTACAAACTAAGGATTAGCAATTTGATCTTGACAGTCATTGGCATATGACAGGAATATTAAGCAGAAGATTTCTCTGGAGGAAACATGTCCAAGAGTCCGTCTAGTGTGAAAGATCTCCTAACTATGTATTTCACTATGAGAAAAATACTATTAAAATCATAGCCTACAAGGTTGTTCTATCAATTAACTTTTACATTTGCCAGCTTTGATTTTTTACTCCACTGCTTTTGTGCAAAATTCCATCCAAATGTGAGGTAGAAAATTAAAGGTTTTATACCTAGCTTTTTATAAATCTCTTCATCCGTTTCCAGCTCTCACCTGCATGAAAAGTTCATACTTGCAAACATCTGTCTTAAATGATACAACTGTTAGTCTTGCATAACCAGTTGCTTTTGTCCCTTAGATCACACAACTCTTTCTAAACAGTCATTTGTATGCAGTGTGTGCTACATGTTTTGACACAGAGCCAAATCCTGAGTTCGAGTGCCTCGCTACCACTTCAGTCTGGACCTGTTCCCCTGGAAATGCCCTGAAATGGTAATAGCGCAAATTTGAATAGCTTGGAGTGAAGGGATTAATTTTTAATAAACTTGAGCTTTTAAAAAAATTAAATATATTCTGTAGATAATGCGAATAGAAGGAGAGAAATTGTAATGGATTTTCAAAAAAAGGATATAGCATATAGGAATTATAGTACTATGAGGCACTGGTGAATTTTAGTCGTGCCTGTAAAAGAAATGAAAAGCAGCATATAGAAGAGGATACCATGTTGCTCTGTAAAGTTATAATGTGAATGCATGGCATGGGTAGAACGTAGAAAGCAAACAATTACTGATGCTTTATAGTAGTTAAAACATTTCTAGAGGGGATGGCATATGATGACTTTTATGTATCTCTCTTTTTTTAAATTAAAGTACAAAATACGAATTTTGTATGTTAGATATGCATCAGTAGATTCTAACAGATGTAGTTATAGAAAGAAAAGGTGTCTGTGTTATTCTGAAATGGTGTTATTGCTATCCTTTATTCAAATGAGTATATGATGAGATGGGGAAAGCGTGAACACTTCCAGAAAAAGATTTCAAAAGTTGTATAAGTAATATTCTATCTCTGCTGTGGTATTCTCTCAAGTGCTTCCCATGTTCTATGCAGAAGTGCAAGAATAAGCAGAGAGCCAAAGTTTCATCACGTAGGAGAGAAAATTGTGCAAGAATGTGGTATTTATGCTTCTAGAACAGAAGAATTCTTTTTAGAGGGATAGACTTTATTTGAATCTCAAAGGAAGCAGGTAACGTATCAAGTCAAGCGCTTGTACTAAGGTTTTAAATCCTTTGAGGCTAAGTTATACCTGAGGTTTTAAATTCAACAGTGAGTGAAGGCAGATCTCAAAGAATATGTTTCAAAATGATGCATTCCCCTAGGTAATTTATGTATCTCTGAAGAAAAGTTAGAAATTTTTTATCGAATAGGACATTTGACAGGTTTGAGCAAACAATGCCATTAGAAGACACAGTAAAGAAGAAAAAGGACATGCTTCTATAAAAATATGTGGGGCTTTTTTGTGCAACAGTAGAAGTGCAAGAAAAACAAATAGAGAATATGAATATATAGTTTGTGGGTTTTCAGAAAGTGAAAGAAAGCTGACACAGTGAAACAGTAAGATAAAGACAGTGCTTGAAAAAGAAAGAAAAAAAGACATCCTTCAGAAAGTTGCAGTTTTGCCCAATTGCAGAAATCTGAGAAGTTACACATAAAAATGCAATGAGGAAGGCCAAAAAAAAAAAAAAAAGCAATAAGAAAAAGGTGTGAAAGTATAAAAATCCGCTAAGAAATCTCCTCCAGATCTTGAAGTCACCTAGGGAGATCAGAGGGACATTACTAGGTTTAAAGGAACATTTAGCAAAGGCTTCATACAGCAGATTTTGCAAAGCCTCTTAGGATAGACTTTTTCCTTGTGAGAGACATCAAATGGTCTGCTACAGACTTAGGTAATAGTAGAAGACCTTATTAAATAAAGAGGTAAAGGACAATTGACAGAATAGTTCTAAAGGAGCACAGGAATTAAACAGATGAATTACTAACTCAGAGATTAGAGCTTGCCAGGAAGCAGAGCTTTGCGCTGTTCTATATACTAAAAATGATTTGAAAAAAAAAAATTGGTGATACTAAGCTATTCATGGCATTAAAGACAACTATGTAAAATTGCAAAACTCCAGAGTGTGATAAAATAGCAGATGAAATCTAAAATGAAATCCAAAGTGATGCACACATTGGGAAGGGGGCAAGCTGAATCTCGCATTATGGGCTCTCACTGAGTAATGCTGTGTAGAAAGGAGGTCACTGGGCAAAAGTGAACAGTTGTATGAATATGTTAGCTTGATGCTCAGAGGTCAAAGAGAAAGCTGAAAAGTTAGGAAGTGTGCGGAAAACAGCAGAAAACAAAGCAGGGACTGTCATGCTGGTGAGTACATGCCAGGACCACCTGCATGTTGAGCAATGCGGGAGATTCTGGTCAGACATATTGAAGTGTACATATTTTTGTTAATAAATGTATTATCCAGTCAGTGCCAGGAGGATGTGCATGTTTGAGAACTTGCAGCGTATACAGCAATTTTAAGTATATTTCTCCATTAAAAACAAGCATCCTTAAAACAGTTGTAACCCAACAGGCAAAAACCTAGATCTAGAGGTGCTTGACATCTGCACTGTTGACCATGTCATGCATAAAATCAGGACAGGCACAGTGTGTATGTGTAATATTCAAAGTGTTAATGAAAGAAGGAATTCTCTCCGGGCACAGTGGGATGGAGCAGATTTGGAAGGGTGCCAGCGATGGTTTACAATGAGAAATTATTAGGCTGATCAGGAAAACCTTGGCTAGTTTTGAAGAATGATGGCAGTCCCTCAGGGGTGTTTCCAGTATGTCCTGCGTGCAGTCCCCTCAGAAAGGTGTCCCTGCCCCAGTGCAGATTTCCCATGGGCCACTGTATCCTCAGAGGGACACTCAGTAGAGTGAAGTGCTTCTTCTCATCAGTCACATCTCCTGCAGCCCCCTCCAGCCATCCCCAGGCTGGTGCTGCAACCACCTCTGGGGCCTGCAGAGATGCTGGCAGCCATTATGGAACCAGCTGGAGTGAGAGCCTTCTGTGACTGCTTCAGCAAAGTGTACAGCTGCCTCCCATGCAAGGCATTGCTGCTGTTCCAGCTCCTTAACCCTGCTTTTACACCCAACAGCCTACATAAAAGAAGGTCAGTGAGTGGTGACGGAGTGGGGGAGTGAATGGTAAAAGAGGAACAATGGCTTCTGCTGTTCAGTTCATAGGGCAGTTCCCAGCCTGATTCAGCTCCCACACATTGGTCACTGGATTTCAAGACTAAGTTCAGTGTTTTGGATGGAGGCTAGCTGGACTTGGTGCCAGACAGTGCTCCCAGGTACATCTCATTTATCAGTCTAGACACAGTCTGAAGCAATCCACTGTCAAACATGTATTTACCTTCAGTATGAAAAGGACTCCCCTGACAATGAAAGATTATGTACTTTTAGTTCAAACTATATTTAAGTAGGAGTTCACATTACATTATCAAAAGTACTGATATCTATTGCTACTGTTGTTTCCTCTCAACCAAATACCAGAGAAAAAATACTTAGTGATTTACTCTCTCCAGTATTCTCTATCTTCCCGTGACCTGTTTTTAGCATGAGAAAAACATGGAAGAAAAAGTGTGCTTACTGGTTTTGTTTTTTAAAAAGAAAAGTGTTACTTGTTACTTCATTGTAAAATAAACCAAGATTTTTCTCAGTATTTTAAAGGTGAGCATGCACTTCTTTTCTTGTGGTCAAGCTTGGTAGTTAGCCTTGTATATGAACAGCGCTGCGCCTACTTTGAGGAAGGCCTATCTTGTTTTGTTCTGTTTTGATACAATCACTAGGATTGAGTCAGCCCAGGACCCTGGCTGCGAGTCCCCAGTGCTAAGTGAGTCAGTTTATAAACACAGTTATCAAACACGGTCATAAAGAAAATATATTTTTTACCCAAATTGCCTTTTCATGCCCCTCCCCAGCCTAAATGCCAGGTGGGGTTCCCCAGTTTTCACATCTCTGTCCTTCTGTTCTAAAGCATTTTCTGGGGTAAGTGCTGCACACTTCTGGATGGATGGCAGTTATTTTAAAAGAAAAAAAGCATTAAGTGGACTTCAGTGTCCCTCTATAGGTCATGCTCCACTCTGCTAGGATCACATTCCCTGTCCCCAGAAAACCAGGCTTTATAACTTTATCTAAAGAAATAAACAGATAATCTAGCAACAGGAATATTGTTGAATTCCTCTATGCTTCATAACCTACTACAGTAATTTTAATCTTATATTTTGTTAAAAACTCAGCATCCTGCTGGCCAATCTTCATTATCCAGTAAAGAGCTGGGATTAATGACATTTCTAATAGTAAGTCCTCAAAATTGTCTGACATCAATACAGCAAGATGCCTTCTCAAAGAATTTCTGGAAATAGAAGGCTTCTCCTTCTTGCATAGGCTGCAAAAATTCCTGAAAAGTTGTTTTTATGACCTGCATTTCATGCATTCCAATTGTTGAAGAAAGTATATAGGAAAGTAATTCTCCAGTATTGCTTAATTTTGTTTGATAGCATCTTGGGAATTTGAACATATACCTCTCCCTCCACCCCCTAAGAAAGGGTATATTACTTAAAAATAAAGGGCTGATAGTAAAAATATTCTTGCTATTTGATTGCTGGATTTGTGATTAATACTTGCAGAGACATTATTGTTAAAGTGAATAATGGCTAAAACTATTTCCCTCTGAAAAAATAAAGAAAACCAGCTAAAAACAGAGTTTTCTGCAAGTGTGACAAGTTCATGTCTATTCTCCTGAAATTAAATTTTGACATTTCCTGGATCAATGTCAAATTCCGATTTTCCCTACTAGAGAGCTTATTTACATATCATTCATGCTAAGAGATGGGGTTATCATAGAAACAGGAAATCCCAAAGAAGCACTAAAATACAAGCCACTTGTGAATGAATTTGGTCTATTTGCCATTTTTAAATGCTATTTTTATGCACTCCTCAGAAATGCTAGTACTGTATACAGTACATTTCTCAAAGGAAATCCCTTATAATTCTTCTGAAAGTCTGGGTTTTATAGGTGTGTTTTCAAGCTTTGGAGGATATAAGGAAAGTAGAAATTATCTTTTCAGTTTAATAACAGAAGTAAGATCTGTCTCTCATTGAATTTTTTTGTAAAACATTCATGTTGTTGCTTCCTCTGCATTTAGTCAAATGTGAAAATGTGGAATGTTCATACTCATGCTAATGATGCTTTTTTAGAAGCAGGGTATATGTGTATAAAGAGAGATGATGTATTTTGTTTGATATTATGACTTTCCATTTAAGTTCCACTGTTTTAAAAAAAAATACCTGGGATTTTAGCAGGGTCTTTCATTTTTTTGAATTAGTTTTTGGACATTTTCTTCTGTAGAATGATGGAACTAATTGGCTTAAAAAATGATCTTACACTGTATTATTCACATTGTTTTCTCTCTGTTCTGAAGAAATCTATGGTTTTGAAAAATGCCTACAACGTGAAGGAAACTATATAGAAAATATGTCATATTGAATGAAAGAAGGTAAAAGCTAGCCTAGCTAGGCAGGTTCGACTGATTTCTAGGTTATGCTTTACCAGATGATTAAGGAAGTAAGTGGCTGGTAACATGATAATAATAATAGTTTTAGGCTTGAGTATGCAAGTATTTATTTGCCCATCTCTCTCTTAATTATAGATTTCTCATATTTCAGTCATAGCCTATCTGTATAAGCCTGTTTTTCCTACTCAGTCATAATGAGAGAAATACAGTGCCTTGCTTAACATAAGAGAAATGAATAAAAATTCAGCATGTAGTCTGGAAGAAGATGGATCTAAATGCATTCTTATTTTGGGACCTCATTCCTTATCATGCTTCTGCTTTTTTTTTCATATCTGTTCCAGTAGTCTAAGTGTTTCACAGCCAGTTCCTTTTGAAAATCTCGTCAATATGACTTACCAGTTTGATTGGAGTGTCTGTGCTCCTTTGTTTCAGCTTTTTTTTCTTTTGTATACTCTTGTGCTGGGGAAGAAGGATGTCCCTAAGCAGCAATTCCAACTGAAATTAAACAAGTCAACATTAAATATTCCAGAATTGGTCCTAGTCACTGAATGAGTCATACATTGCAGGGAGAAGATCAGGCTGTTTAGATTTTTATCCTCAATTGCTGTAAAGAGAACATGTTTTGCTTGTCCCAGAGATTAAAATCTGCAAACAACTTTTTAGAGCAGTACCAAGTTTCTTACAGCAAAGCAGAGAGGCAGCAGATAATTCAAGAGATCTCTAGTGCTGCATGATGTTATTTTTCCCTGTCTTTTAGTTGAAAAAATTTTGGCTAACCAGCCATGAACTGCTCAGAAATAGAGACTTGTCAGAGATAAACAGTATGAGTTCTTCATCTCACTCATGCATATGGATGTTGGGGGGGGGGGAAATAAGAGAGTAAGATATATCTTAAGTCCTTGTTCTACCTTTTATAGAAAGATTTTAGGCAGTGATTGGCAACCTAAATTACTGTTTAAAATCTTTCTAGATCATGAATGTTTCCGAATGATAAAGTGTAACATTTGTACTCTTGTCAATCAGAAAGGAAAAAAAACCTTAAGCCTAGAGCTGTATTTTATTAAACACAGCTCTGATGCAGTTGCAGGTGCCTTGAGAGTCAGATTTACTAAAAATAATAAGTAGCATCATTATCTCGCTAGCTGCCAGCAGTCTGATCCCCGAAATCACTCGTTCCAAATTCACATTTTGAAAACACTTTCCTTGGGTTTTAGATAAGTACCTAAGTTTTAACTTTTGTTAAATGCCTGGTAGTGGATGGATCAATAGCTGTTGTACACAAGCATTAAACTCTCCATGTTGCCATGATCAAGAAATAAATATTAAAAGAACATAAGAACTTCCCAGCTAGTTCAATGTATGCCTGTGCAAATTTTAGTGAATGTTTTAGAAAAATAAATAAAATTAAAGGAATGTAAGGCTATCTGGCAGGCAGAAGGAATTCAAGTCCATCAAATTGTGCCACAAGGATTATTTTGCAAAGTTCTATAGTTCTTTTTAAATAAAATATTTTGCTTCTCTGAAGAGACACACATACATACAAAAAAAAAAAAAAAAAAAGGAAAACCAACAAAAAAACCCCATATACAAAGAACAGTGATATCTTCGATGTTACAAGAATGTCTCTTACTTATTTTTAAAATCTTCTGATTCACCATAGAATCTGCTCGAGCAGTTTGTTATTTTTCATTTCTCCTGTTTGAATATTGCTCTGTCAGGTCTTTTTCCTAAACTTAGGATTTTCTGATGTGAATGATATTGTTTTGCTTTGTGTGAATGTGCTGTTCTACTCAATAGACTTCCATTCCATCAACCATCTTGAAAGACTAATGAAAACATACATCTAGAAACAGAACACAAATGGGAAGGTGTTTTTATGCATTTTGTCATCTCTTAATCTTCTGTTCAGAAAAATAAAAATGTTTTGTAATTCAGCTACTGAGTATAAGCGTTTACATTTTAATTACTCTCTTGTTTAAAAGCTAAGCGATATCAGAAAAATCTTCAATTTTATGTCACTAGCTTTTTAGTCTGTTGTGTTTCACAGTTGCTATATGAATAATAATTATTAAGGTTGAAGGACTAAAGTGGTGAAATAAAAGTGTATGTATAAGGTTCTTTCTGCTTGAAGTCCACTCTGACTACCTTCTGTTTTAACTATTTCTTTGGCTAATATTTTGGACATATCTGTCATGTTCAACAGGAATGAGGTTCACAGTGCTTTAAATGAAAACTTGGGAAACTTTAAAGATCTGAAAGTAGGACATGTGGCTTCTGAAGGCACCTCTGGGCTAGTTGAAGAAGGTCTTTTTTTTGAGATGTCGTGACAATTCTAGGCATTACATCCACAGAAAAATAGTGATCAGTCTCTTTGATCAAACTTACATTGGGCAGGAAGCAATCTCTTCAAAACTTCATCCTAGCAATGAATAACCTTTGGTTTGCTGTTATACTTTTTTGATTTTAAGAGCTCTGCTATCCTGCTTTCTAGCTGTGTTATGGACTGGTACATTACAGACGTTAGTACAAACAATTGGAATTGTTTAAGACATTTAAGTCTCTCAATATAAGACTTAAGTCTTCCTTAATGTGAAAGAAATAATTGATGTCTGTTTAATATGCTACTACTGGTTTCCTGAGTTAAACCCATAAACTTGCACCTCACTTTCATACTTAGTCGCAGGTATTTTATGTGTCTTCTGCGAATTTTCTCTAAATGCATTAACTGTTTAATTAGATATTTTTCTCTTGTGTGTATTTTGAGCATTGCTGGAACAGATTAAGCAGTTATTTACTTTTGTCTCCATTTTATCATATAGCTATTTTAAATAGGAAAGGTAACATGAAGATAGTCTTCTGTGGATGCTGATTTCTATGTAGAGATAAAAAGTAAAAAAATTGTCATTGAAAATTCTCTTTTCTTTCCACAAAACTTAGATATGGTTTTTACGTATATATATATTCAAATATGTTAGATATAGTATATGAGTAATATACGAATAATTTGTAATAAAGTAGTTTTCTAGGAACACAATATCTCTTAAAGAAAGCCTACAACAATATCCCAGAAATTGCTTCAGACCTTCACAGGTTTTTCAATCCACTCTCCACTACTCACCTCCTATGTGCTCCCACATCTACTGATGTTATACTTAGGTTTTTCGTATAAAATCACCGAAAAAACCATGCATATTGCTTTTGCTTCTTTCACTGGATTCTAGGGCATGCTGGAATAAGATCTTTATCTTCCCATGCATTCTCTTTAGATACTCCATGAGTTCCAACATTTTTCCTCTCCTGTTCCCACAGCATGGACTTACTGGATTTCTGTCTGGGACCTTCACAACTGGTGTACCTTTTTTTGGCAAATCTCCACTGGTAGCTGGGATAGGTGTTGATGGCCATGGAGAAAATTGAGCCATAGTTCCTGGGAGTGAGGATTCCTTTGTTTCCTCACTGCCTCCATTGAGCATGGGCTGATGGTAATGCCCCTGAGACTTTGAGAGGCGGGCACCTCATACAACTCCAGCAGCCTAACCAGACTGTCATTCTGGGTGGAAGGATGGCACCATTCCAGTTCATCAATCTCTGACTGAATAAACTCCTGTCCACTCAAATCAATTTCCTCTTCCAGCAGCCTCTTGTGGTCTCTGATGTTTCTGATGACCACATCATCTCACAAGTCGAATAGACTTGAGTGGCTACTGATACAAGTGTCATCTGCAAAGGCTGACCCATACTGCCAGTTAAAATGTAAGGGGATACATAAGCCAGCCAGCACTATTCTCAAGAACTGACAGACTAGGCCCACCTATATACCGATGGGCAATGGTACGAAATCAATACCAGACATTGTTTCACCTTGCTAAATAACTACTGAGTGGTTGGTGAAGCCAATCTATAGAGAGGAAGCAAGCTGTAACTCCATCACACTGGGGCAGAGGCTAACTTGGTTACCCTGAAAGGCATCCAGCAGGACCATGAGGATGTGTTGCCTCTGCAGCTCTAATTGCAAATTACATCCTCTATTTCATTGCTGTAAAACTGCCAACAGCAATCTTTGTATGTATGATATCAAACATGCAAAAAATTAGCTGTTTCCTTAACAGCTGGCTTTGCCTCTCTGTTACTAGATGCTCCTTTTAAATAATTAAATACATAAATAATCAACATATTTATTTACATGAAGATAGTGGCAGAGTTTTGGAAAACAGAACAAAAGATCAAGTAGCATGCTGAAGACTTGCTCATGCATGAAGATAAGTGCGTTTCTTAAGAAGGAAAACTAGGTTTTTAGATCTGTCCCAGGTCATGATATTGTCTAGTGGAGGCAGGAAACTACACATAGTCATGTCTCTACCTTTGAATATAATTTGCTCTTAGTATCATACTGAGATTTAAGAATTCATTTTCTGTTTGCAGAGGTGGGATTTGGAGATTCTCAAAAACTTGATCGTTTTAAAACAGTATGTTATGCTACCAAAACTATGCTAGTGTGGATGATATCTAACTGTGGAAAATATTTCTTGTACCCATACAAGCTGCATCAGTGATGTGTCTGCCCATGAGGGAAATATGCCTTAGAATCATAGAATAGAATCATAGAATTATAGAATAATTAGGGTTGGAAAGGACCTTGAGATCATCAAGTTCCAACCCCCCTGCCATGGGCAGGGACACCTCACACTAAACCATGTCACCCAAGACTCTGTCCAACCAGAACTTGAACACTGCCAGGGATGGAGCATTCACAACCTCCTTGGCCAACCTATTCCAGTGCCTCACCACCCTAACAGGAAAGAATTTCCTCCTTATATCCAATCTAAACTTCCCCTGTTTAAGTTTTAACCTATTACACCTTGTCCTATCACTACAGTCCCTAATGAACAGTCCCTTCCCAGCATCCTTACAGGGCCCCTTCAGATACAGAAAGGCTGCTATGAGGTCTCCATGCAGCCTTCTCTTCTCCAGGCTGAACAGCCCCAACTTTTCAGCCTGTCTTCATAGAGGAGGTTCTCCAGTTCCCTGATCATCCTCGTGGCCCTCCTCTGGACTTGTTCCAACAGTTCCATGTCCTGTTTATGTCAAGGACACCACAACTGCACGCAACACTCCAGGTGAGGTCTCACAAGAGCAGAGTAGAGGGGCAGGATCACCTCCTTCAACCTGCTGGTCACTCTCCTTTTGATGCAGCCCAGGATACAGTTGGCTGTCTGGGCTGCAAGCGCACACTGCCGGCTCATGTTCATTTTCTCATCGACTAGCACCCCCAAGTCCTTCCCTGCAGGGCTGCTCTGAATCTCTTCTTTGCCCAACCTGTAGCTGTGCCTGGGATTGCTTACCTTTTATCTTGATGGTATGATTGATACTATATTAGGAATTTTTACCAGAACAGCTCTGTTGTTCAGCAACTGCACTTCACCTTTTCTTTGACAGATAGAGCTAAGGAAAAAAATGTGTGCAGAAATGTAACTGGCTCAAATGAGAACTTAAATCTTTCAGCTGTTTGATGCTGTAGAATATGAATTTCCCTTTAACTCTACTCTTCCATGATTACTGCTGTGCACTTACCCAGAGGCTGATGAATGCTGATTTTCAAAGCTGCTATGCCATGCCATCATCAATTGCTGAAGCTTTTGCTTAGTATTTTTATATTAGTATTTTGCTTAGTATTATTTGCTTTGTATTGCTATAATACAAAGACCAATTTGTCAGATTCTGACAGCTATATAAAAATTCCCAACTGCTGGTTTAGATATCCTTAGGCACCTGGATTTTAAAATTATTCTAGTTTACCTTCTTCCCTTAAATTCAGCATATAGTCTGCCAGTCTGAATAGTATACAATTTAACAGATCGTTTCAGACTGAGCAACTGCAAAAATAAAAATACCCAGTAAGCCCTATTTCATTATTACAAACAATACTGCCAATATCTAGTTAAATAACTGTGGCAAAAAGCCCTGCTTCAGAAGTCTGTAACCTTCTGTAATTGTTTGGGTTGGCATGCATTTGTTACTGATGGGAAAGCATGAACTGTTCATGCACATGCTTATTGTATGGTTCAGGTTAACTGTATGTGTTATGAGTTACTGCTACATAAAACATATGCTCTACTGGATCTTAAGAATATTTGCAGCTTTTATACACTGAAGTGGTGGCTTAATCCTGGATGTTGTACAACCTGCAAAGACCTTGATGCTAACAAGATTAATTTTCTTTCAGGATTACGTCTGGCATTCAGATGGTCAAGGAATAAAACCTCTCCTTTGAAACTTACAAACCACTTCTGATTTAGTCACAGTCACCATGAGCAAGAATGCCTGTAGTGCACATGGGAAGAGCAAAAGTGTGAGTAGAAAATTTGCTCTTTCTTGCTTGTATTTCATTATCAGTATTCTTCGATACTACTTATGTGTTGTTAGTCTTCCAAATACCACTTTCTGAGTATAACAGTAGTTGTGATAAAAATCTTTGTTAGTTATACCCCATTCTTGTACTTACAGCCTAAGTAAATATGTATGTGTGACTTACACATACAGAGATAACATTATTTAACAGGAGCATGTTTGCATGTTTTGGGATAGTTTTTTTGTATTTGAGACTTTTCTCAGTGTCTTTTATACAGAGATATTAAAATTGATTTCTTAAACATTCACTGCAATGTGAGATACATATTATCTGTAACGTACTCAGTCATAAATATATGCCCCTGCACTGAGGTATCACAAATTGTACTCCACTCAATTTGACAACACATTGTTGACTGTGCAATTTTCCATGAGATCAGTGGTCAAATATGCTGATCATATATTCATAGATTTGAATAAGACTTAATTTTGTTTAGTTTCTGGCTTTTGTGGTGTTCTTTTGTCCCATATGCGTACGCATGTCTCCCAGTATCCAAGAGTACTACTGAAACAGAGAGGTTTCAGGTGCTGAATGTCTTGTATTATATGACAACGACTGCCTTTCAGGCACAGACAACACTAAATGCTCCTTTCTATTATGCTACTATTATATTTAAGCTGTTGGATCTGCCCTTTCTCCTAATGGACAAGGACACTTTACTTAAGTGCTTTGAAAAGTGGCGATAGGAAAGTTCTAGTGTGCATGTACAGGGACACTGCATCTACAAAGACAAAGAATACAGTTACGTTATTTTTTTTCTGAGGGGAATACTACCTTATATGTAAGCAGAATTCACTTGAGAAATATTCCACATCACTCTGGATCCAGACTTTTTATCCTCCCATGAGCATCTTCCACCTTCTCCTGCAATGATACCAGAAAGGCTGTCTCTGCGTTGTTGCCATTAATGCCTTGGTGTGTCTGCTTCCTTCTTGCCTTTGCTGCCTACATCTTCTAATCCAGTGGGGTTGGTTGTTGGACCAGGAAGATGAGCTTAGTCAACTTCATCCAGAATTACTCAAGTTTCTCCCTGTTCTCTCAAGTGTGGGAAGGGAGACATCTCTGATCAGCCCTGATGTAGAGCTTCCTGAATCTGGCAGGCTCTATCTGCTTGAGCCCCTGGATATTGGCATTGCTCTTCTTGGCTTATTCTTAAAAATTTCCTAAAAATAAAATAAATTAATCTCTATGTAGATAACTTTTTCTATCCTATTATTTTACTGTACATGATATCAGAATATGTATGTACAGCCATAGGGGAAAAGTGACAGAAGTAAGCTAAATTCATCATGATGCCATGGTTTGACATGTGAATCAAATAAAGCAGCCGATATATCTCAATAAAATGAAGATAGATATTTAGAGTGCTTAATAAATCTTCACTGTTGATGTTGTCTGACTTCCTGAGCATTAGGTGAAGTGTGAGACTCCCCATAACATTTTTAAAAGACTGAAAAGCATAAAATATCAATGTTAGCTGATCTAATGAAATTTGGTCAAATTAGGGGGAAACATTTTTTTAATTTAACTGTTTTTTTATGTTAATCTTTATTAATTCTAAGGATCTTCGTATTTTAGTACAAATATCCTAGTATATGTTTTGTGAAATTAAGTTTTAAAAGTTAAATAAACATACTGAACATTTCAGTCCAGAATGAGAATTTCTAACCTACAAATAAAAGTCATTATTTTTAGTGTTAAATCATTGTACAAATTTCTGTCTGAACTTAATCATAACCACCTGCAGCTATTTTTATTTAAATGAGGTGCATAAAAAAATTCCTACTGTGTGTTTCTTATATTTAAATTGAAAAATATTTAATATTTAAGAAATTATTTTAAGCCATGTGGTAGTATGCTGTTTAAATAAGTTGATGACTACTGCTTGCAGTGGAATAGTGGCACCATATAAACAAAAGTGACTTTGGAGAAATTGCACATTTTGAGTACAACCAAAGATTTCATATCACATGATGGTGGTGACATCAAATCTTCTATCTTCCTACATGCCTGTTAATTAGAATTTGGATTGCCAAAATTATCCATGATCTGCCAGACAAGTTATTTAACCAGAAGACCACCTAATGATCAAGTAAAAGACATCAGTGAACTGAATAATCTTAAAAATAAAAATGGAATATGTCTTTTATGTTTATTTTGTGGGATGTTCTCACATAGCTTTCGAGAAGGTTTGTAAGTTTCTAGGAAGTATGGCAACCTTGGTTGAGTGTTTTCATATGCTACTGAGTGTAATTTATCTAATATAGAAATTGAATCTGCAGATGCATGTGAACATTTTGGATTTCTCACTGAATGCAGAACTAATTGTGCATCATGACCTAGCTGAAGCTTAATTTTGCTGTGTAGAATAGTAGAAACTGCACATAGAAAAGATGTTAAAATTGCCATTTTTTTTCTGACAATACAATATGTAAAATAAACTTATGTCCTCAGACAGCACAATATATATAATCCTGCTAGTGCTTTGCCTTCTCCCTAGCTGGTTTGCACAGTATTGCTATTCATTCTTCTGTTGATAATCCATGGAGTTGCATATAACTGTGTTTTGTAATCAGAGTTTGCATAGTAGTCAGCTCTTTCTTTCACTCTTGCTCACAGCAAGACATCAGTGAGGACGTCTGTATTTATGTCCTTTCAGTCTATGTGTACTATTTGTCTTGTTCCTTTTCTTAGGTAGCTTTTTCTTTCTTTTACAGTTTCCTCATAAATAAATTCCTCCTTTCCTGAAATGTCTTGGGTTTTTTTGGGTGTCTTGAACTGCTTAGAATATTCTAGGTGTTTTATTGCTTCAACTTCCATGACTTACCATCTGGTACTCCTGAAAATACAGCTAAATGTTGTTCTTTCCCACCTTCCCTCTATCTAATTTGGTTTTTCCCCTCCCCTTACAAAATTACTTCTAGTATAGGACAGGGATTTTAGTTAGTGCTGATCAGCTGTGGAAGAAGACTTTATGAATATTTTCAAAATAAAACACTGAACTGTATTTTTTTGTGTTTTAAAAGAGCTTCATATTGTCCTTGTAACTGGACTAACAAGCTAATGTATTTCTACACACAGCTTCACAAATTTCAACATAATCTGTTCTTAATCAAAAAGCATGATGGAATACATTATTAATTGGTATTTTTAAAATCAAAATTTTGCCCTATCTTCAGTTAAACTAACAGAGCTTTACTGATGATTAATACACCATAAATAGTAAAGTTTTCAATAGAGTATTATAATAACTGCTTTCTGTAGCAATATACTGGACACATATTTGGTCAGTTAGAGGAATTGAGATTCTTTCTACTTTCGGGTGATGAGGGTGCTAGTATATGTGGAGAAAAGAAGAAAGTCTGAATGCTACACTGTGTGGGTGTTCATCTTGGAACATTGTGTCAGAAGTGAGTCAACTCTTGTGAAATCAGAAAGTAGCTATATTGGAAGAAAATGAACCAACCAAGAGGATATGTTTAGCAACTGGGCCTGCTTGAACTGTGGAATTTCAACAGCTTCAACAACAACAACAAAAAACAGAGCGGGGGACAGAAAACAAAATTAGAGCTTTAACAGTGTTTAGTCAGCCTTTTAACTTAAGAATATCTGTAAAAGTCTAGAAGTGTGAGACTGTTTTGAATCATAAACATATATATAATGTGTATTTCCAACAGCTGTAACTTCTGGATAAACTACAGATCCCTTGTAGGAGACAAAATGGCTGTCTCATTCTCTGATCAAAATTTTAAAAGCAAGGTTGTGACTACTGATGGGATCAAATGAATGAGGACCTCAAAAGGGAATACTCAGATTGCAGCAAAGCTTCTGAGAGCTTAGCTGCATGCAGAAATTGCAGGGGGGTGGGGAGGTGGGGTGGAACTCATGCAAATGAAATGCAAAGCAAACACAGAGCACCCATAGAGATGATCAAAGAAATGCAGAGAGCTGTTTGCAAATAGCGTACTCACCGAGCTGTTTTCATCCAAAGTACTCACAGTTAGATTGTCATAACCTTTACTTATGATGTCAGGGAGTGAGGAAGTTAAAGACTTCCTTTATTCCTATGCTTATTGCTGCTTAGATTATGACTTACAGAGATAACAAGAGCCAGGGGTTCCTCTGTGCCACTCCTCCTGTAAGCAAATGGTCAGAGAGAGGAAATGTCATCCTGCCTAAACCAGCCAAATCTAGTACACCTCTCTGCTCACCAGCTAGAATAGCTGCTCAGCAACAGGATAAGATACTCTACACCAAAAAGTACAGTGACGTAAGTCTCCACAGAGAGTGTGAAGGAATCGCAAATAGGTTCAGTTCTAGGCCCTTTTCTGTCACAGTGCCATCCTGCCAGACAGCAATCCTTGCTTTAGGTCAATAATTCTAAGTAATTAGAATTTGTCATTTTGTCAACATAAACAGGGGAAGCTCACAGTGTTCCAGGAGCATTTTTCATAATAAGTTTCCATTACTTCCAGATAAATTGATTTTTCTCGCACTGCCAATGGCTAGGTCCATTTATTAGCTGATAGAAGGATACTTAGAGGGAGATTGATTGGACTAACCATTCTTTATCAATGGGAAACAATTACATTATGTATTCTTTGCCTTCTTCCACCCCTCCATCTGTAATACAGCTTTTGTAAATGAAACAAGGAATAAAAAAGACGAAGGTGAGACACTGCTAAAAGTCAAATTGATACCCATTCAGTGGTGCTACATTTCCCTTAATGTCAGTTACTGTGGTTGCTTGGCAGACATTTTAAGCAGCAAGTTCTCTTCAGCAAAGCAGCATCTGATGCACAGGCGACGTTTGAAGAGAGAGTAAGTAATGCCTGGAGCAACTTTAACCCTTTCTGCATGTTTTCTAACATTGCCTCTACAGACATGTAGTAATTTATATCTATGGAGAGAGTCCAGTCTGAGAAAGAATTGCTGGATTT